GATGGGATTGGGAAAGGTGTAAAAACTTGTATGGGACATGGCTAGCAACAAATTCCACAGGTGTCAGGTGTCTGCAATGTCAAGATGGATCGGGGGTGTCCAGAATTACTTGAATCTTGTAGACATTGCAAGGGAAAAGAAGGGCAAATTCTAACATTGCTGTAGGCAGTTAAGATCAATGTTGTAAAGAGCAGTAATTAAATATATGCTTATAAATTAAATCTTTGTGGTCCAACTGTAAATAATTCATTTTGCTTCTCTAGTTATTTCCCTTCTTATACTTTATGTGTCTCCTTTTTTTAATCGTATATAATAATATCTTTTGAACAGCAAAGGCCAGACTGTCAGGTGCTTCAGTCCTCACCACAGTCCTGGAATCTTTTACTGATGAGACAGCTGAAGATCAGAGAGTTATATAATTTGCCTAAGGTCACAGAGTGACTAAAAGCATATCTGCGAGACTCTAGAACTTAGTCTTTCCATTTTGTCCTCTGTCTCTCAAATTAGAAATAGGTATAAAGACAACAAGGTAGTAGTACCTCCCTCATAGGGTTTTTAGGAGTAAAATAATCCAGGTAGATAATACACATAAATAACATGATGAGCACTGGACAAATTTTGGTTATTTTTATTGTCATTTATGCTACCATGTCCTCCTACCTGCTCTTTGCAGATGCTGTTAAGCGTTTTAAGTGCATTATCTTTTCAGTAGCTCTGCAAGGCAGGTAGGGAAGAAGCCTCACAGGGGTTAAAGACCTTGCTTTTACATACTTTTGACTGTGTGACGGGAACTCAAGTCCAGCTGGCTCCGAAGCCTGTTTACTTAATATGGACCTTAAATTCCCTCCGTACTGTTTCATACGGTGATTTGACAGTGGGGTGGATGTCAGTGGTGGCGAGGGCAAGGGCATTGTACCTCTTGGTGTTATCTGCTGAGGGAGCCCCAGACCCAGGACACAACCCAAGGGGTCCAGTCTACCCCTAACTTCTACCTTTCGTAGCTTAAGGGAAAATGGTGGCTTGATGTTTATGGATCTAGTAATTCCACTTAGAGGAAGCATAAAATTAGGGATGCTTGGAAGGAGTTGTATTTTTATAATTATGTTCTTTAGTATCTTCCAGAAGGCTTATCGTACTCCTCCTAAGTTTTATCTAAATTGGAAATAGTTTGTGAAGTTGGACAGTATTAAGAGGAGACTTAGGGCACAGAATGACTCTGCCCTTTTTGTGTTAATTTGGAAAGTGTGAAATGAGGAGATTGTTCCAGCCACATAAATCCATTGCTTGTGGTTTACATGAGCTCATACTCCCATCATTCAGCAGAGTCATTTGTACAGTGATTCTTCTTGACAAGCTGAAGAAAGCCTCATTTGATTATCTTGAAATCATCTTTTCTAAATGAAATAGGATTAGAATAAGCAATAAAACAGTGGATAATTCCGATTCTCAAGAATTCCAACTTGAGCTTTTGGCACAGAGTCAAATCCTTGGCCTTGCTAGAAGGTGTCCAGAAAATCAAATCACATGTATTTAAGTTTCATCATTAAACAAACAAGCAATTTGGAGGATGATTTTTCAGACTCCAAAATGAACATTTGTACCGCCTAGTCTGACTGGGCCTAATTTAATTGCCCTTGCACCTTGAAAAAACACAAAGTAATAATGATAGTAGTCCTGTACCTGACACTGTACATTTCACGCTGTGCTCTCTTGCACATTATTGTTTTTGATCCTGAGAGCAGCCTGACAGAATACTTGAGGGACCTATTCCTGACTCATAGTGAGTCTATTGGCTTTTAGGAGTGTAGTTATCATCCACATTGAAAATCCTAATCGTGCTCCAATGTTTCCTTTAGAGAGAATAGCCAGTGAGCAAGGGGAAATCCAGTTTTCCCATGTTTCTTCGTGCTGTGTTCCATGTGAATCTTGTTCTAGAAGCAGTTTTTCATGCGTCTGTCAATCTACAGTCCTTCCTCACATGCTTCTCTGTTCTGCCACGTTTAAAATAGTTCTTAAGAAAGAATCCACACTCCCATTTTTATTGACCGCTGAAATTAAAATGCACGTATACTGTTTTTGCTTCCATTATAGTCAGGAAGGAATCTCATTCTTAGTAACACATCAAGATAAGAGAGACAAAATCTGAAAGACAGATGTAAAGAGAATGAAGAGAGAAATGGAGAACTAGGCCTATCTCTAACTCTGAATTCATTTTCAAATGCTCTAATTAGGGGTCGCGGAAGCTGCTTCATCTGAGGCCAGAAGCGTCACTATGCCAAGAAACACCAATATTTTTGGAAAATCATACTTGTGGGTTTGTGGGTGCTGCCTTCTCTGTGACGATTGGCTGGAGAGGACAAGCTGAAGCAATGGCCGCTGCAGCCCCACATCCCACTCTGGTCCCGCTGTTGCTTAGCCCTGTGGCAGGTCAGGAAATCTCTCATTGTCGAGTGATCATCCTAGTCACAGTGCACAGTTGACTGTAGCTTCAAGATGTGTCAGGTGAGGCACCCAGCACAGTGGCTGGCAGGTGAAGCATACGCATCTAGAAGGCATTTAAAAATGTTGAAGGTAATGGTGTCCAGTTAGTATATCGCCCACAAATGGCCATGGCTCAGCATGGTTTGGAGAACAAAGGTAAGGCGGTGCAGAAAGGCTTCTTAGAGCTCGACAACCACAACCTATCGTATGTCTTTCACTGTAGACTCAAAAATAGACTGAAGACGTGAAGCTCTGTTAAAATGGTTAGGGTTCTAGCTGTTACAGAAGCTAGGATATCTTGTTGCTTTGTCTTTCAAGTCTCCTTTTCTTCCTCCCCCATCACCCCAATTGATCTCAGCTATGTGTAGTGATTCTGTTTATCTTATTGCAAATTTTTAGTCCTCTTAGGAAGATATGATAATGCTGCCTCCAGACAGCTGTGTTTGGGAACAAAGCTGACTTAACCAGCTGGCTGGCATCATTGGAAGTCAAGGACTTGCCAAGCCAGGGAGAGAGCAGCTGTTTGAGCTGAAGTTCTTATAATTCTTATGAGTTTGCTTTCTATATAACAGCTTTTGAGTTTGCTTTTCCATGCAAACACAAAGGCTATGGAACCATAAGAAAGCAATTTTAGGGCCGGGGATTTAGCTCAGTGGTTCGGTGGCCTGCCTTGCAAGCGCAAGGACCTGAGTTCAATCCCCGGTACCAAAAAGAAAAAAGATTTAAAAAAGAAAAAAAGAAAGCAATTTTAGGTGTCTAGGGCCACCATAGATGAAGGGCAGGCGATGCTACCACCTTTCTCTTGTGACTCATAACTATCAGAAAGAAGAGCTCCAGAAGGAGGATGATAACCAGTGGATCAATAAATTTGGATATCTCAGTACAGTGAGGACATTATGTGACTATTAAGAATAAAGCTTTAAAATTTTTAATGAAGAGTAAAATATTGCAATATAGTGTTAAACAAAGTGTATAGGTCAGACAGTGGTATGAGGAATATAATTCCCAGTATGGAAAAGTGTGTTTAGTATTAAATGAAAATTCATACAAAGCATTTAATCCAGTTCCTGGTGCATATAGCAAATACGTAGTAAATCATAGCTACTGGAGTACAAACTCTCTTACCATAGGAACACATTTGTCGTATTAATTCACTGTTATACCCAGAGTGCCTAGTACAAAGTAGATGCTCAAAAGAGTGTTGCCAGTTGGATGAATGAGTCGTTATTACTATATATACTTAAAAACAAATCTGGAAAAAACCCTGTATTTTTACCTGTATATTTGTGTGTGTAATTGTGGCAACTTTGTCTCTTTGGGCTCACAGTTGTTCTTTGTAAAGTGCTGAGGACATTAGCTGTTGTGAAGACTGCTGAGGGCTGAGTGAGCTACCTGCCGTGCACAGAGTGCAGTGACTGGTACCTCGGGAGCTGGAGTAAGGGGGCTGATGTACTCATGACAAGCATCGTGTTGGTGTTGGCTGTTGTAACTAGTAGATTCTGTAGAAGAAATGTAAGAGTTATCATGATTTTTGTCTATCATTTTCCTCTCATTTTTTTCACCATGACCTTAAATGTTAATAAAATAGCCCCAAAGAAAAAAGTCATAAAGAAATAAAACTCAAATGCTGATCATAATAATTTCTAAATAGTAGAATTGGGAGAGTTTTTCTGTCTTCTTAAGACTTTTGCACATTTTCCAAACTGCAATAGATAAATGGGCGTTTTTTTTAACCCCAGTGGTGGGGGGAGCAGGTACCCCCAATACACACATTACCAGCAGCAGCCACCGCCGCCGCCTTTGAACAAGGAAATGGAACTGAGCCTCAGAGATAGAGCAGAGAAGCTGCCCTGGAAAGGATGCACCCTCTGAGGCTAGAGGATTATGAAGGACAGGGTACCCAGCTCTGGCTCATTCTTGGGATGTTAAATACATGCTTCATAGTCTAAGAAAGTTGACAAGCAGTTGTTGAGAACTGGGGAAAAGAACCAATAAAGAAAGAGCCACATGTGATGGTGTATGCATGCCATCCTGGCACTCTTGAGAGGCTGAGGCAGCGCTCTTTCGGGTTTGAGCCCCACCTGGGCAACATAGCAATTTAGTGAGACCCCCTGGTCCTGGGAAGGAGAAGGAATGAAAGGGGGAGAGGGTGGCAGACAGGGAAGTAGGGAGGTCGGTTTTGACTGATTGGTTCTGGAGAAAAGTGGTCAGAAAACTTCAAGAACAGTTAATAGACAGTGGTTTGTCTTTATATCAACTACTTTTCATTTCCCCTGGAGAGAAGAACAAAAAAGAGATTCATGAAAATTATGGTAGGAGTTAGAAAGGGAAGTGAATGATTACCAGACTCTGGGGTCTAATGAGAGTTCCTAGAACGGTTTACAGGGAGGCCCTGAGCACATGCCCTGGCCTTTTCTAATCTTTTTCTCCTGATTCTTATTCACCACTAAGGGTTCAGTTGTACCGTTCAGGCCTGATTCACTAAAGCGTATGACCTTTCTGTGAAACTTTATTTGCAGATATTTAACACCGTGCCTGATGTGCCGCTCACCAATGCCCAGGTGCACCTGTTGCGGAAGAAGAGCAGTGACACCAAGCCCCCGTCCTGCAGCGAGAGGCCCCTGACGCTCTTCCACGCCATGCAGTCCGCAGAGAAACGTGAGTCCTTGCTGCTGAGAGCCAGCGTGGCGTTCAGGGCCATCCCGGGCCGCGTCCTGCTGCTTGTTGGGGACTCCTCTGGCCTGTGCGTGCCACCTACCCTTTCTGTCCTTGTGGACTGTCTCACCGTGACTGCTCAGTTACCCTGACTGGGTAAGAAGCAGCATCATTGAGAATGAAAGCAGGCCCTGCCTTGGGGTTTCTGTCTCCGAATCTGTGGGCAAACACCTGAGTCTCTTTTCCCCAGTTACACACTGAGAACTCAGCTCCTGCATTGCCTTTGTGCCCTTTCTTCTGTTGGCAGCTCCCATAAAACCAGTTTCCTCTCCTTCTCTTAGTTTGTAATTGAATGCTCGTTAGCGGGAATCAAGTGTCCTCCCAGAGTGTGTCTCTGTGAGACTGGGCTCTTTTTCTGCTTGCCCCATTACTCCACCTCTAGGTGTCTAGTGTGAAACTGGCACTTTAAAATATTTGAAATTAATTAATGAGCTAATTAGAGAACAATTCCTCCTTGTTCCAGATAGCAGAATGTTATCACCACAAATATCTCAAATAATTTTTACTTCCAAGAAGTTCCTTGCGGTAATCACATACTGGGCCTAAAATATGCGATCTCCTTTCAGCTTTTACAATTAAGAGATTTGTGTGATGTGGGAGTGGAAATCTCGAGCTGTGCTAAAACGCCTCAGTTTGACTAGCTATAAAGTAGGCATAGTAGTGCCCACCTCATAGGGGAGTTGTAAGGATAAAATGAAATTACGCATCTCATCATCTGATACAAGGCCCAGAACATGGCAAGGGCCAAAAGCTAAGAGCCTCTGCTGCCATTAGTAGTTATTCTTTGATCACACAGATACCACAGCTGGTGTGTATATGTGGCTGATGTTTACACGATGCCTGCCGGGGCTGGAAGTACAAAAGCGAGGTCTTGTGTCTCAGGAGCTCAGGGCTGGGAGAGGGAAGCAGACCAGCGAATACACTGTGGTTGAGTCAGCACGGTAAGTGCTCTCATAGAGAATTGTACATTAGGGGAAGCAGAAGAACATCCTGGTTAACCGTAGGCAGCGTTGCTCTAGGCTGCCCAGGTGGGAATTCTGCCTGTGTCGCTCACCAGCTATGTGTGACTTGGGAGGTCCCGTAGCATCTCAGAGCCTTTGACTCCTCTGAGAAATGGGGATGATGTTTTTCCAGGATTTCTTGAGTTTTTCGTGGTGATCGGGTGCTGGGCCTTAAAACATTTCGACTTTTGTAATAAGAGACTTGTGGTACAGGGCAGGGCAGGGCAGGGCACTGTATTTCACTCGAAGGCCTAGGGCTGCTGTGATGATTGAAACGGTCAGGTGGTGCCAGGTTGAGAGTCAGTGCTTGGTGAAAGCCAGGTGGTGATACAGTTGTCACTGCTGCTGCTGCTGCTCATCGCCATGAGATAGGCAAAGGCGCAGCAAGGATACTGGCCTGCTTTGCCCTGAGGGAGAGGTTCCATATCTAGATTAGCATCTTTCTCCTTTTTTGTAACAAAAATGTTTATGATACCCTTGTATTTTACAAACAATGCGGGGCCAGGGATTTAGCTCACAGCTTCTACCACCTGCCTTACAAGTGCAAGGACCCGAGTTCCCTGGTACCTAAAACCAAAAACAAACAAAAAACAATGAGCCTGGTGTGGGGGTTCGCACCTGTGATACCAGCACTTGGAAGGCTGAGGCAGGAGGATTGTCATGAGTTTGTAGCCTGGGCTACAAACTGAATTTAGGTCAGCCTGAACTACATAGCAAGACCTTGTCTCAGAAAAAAACCAATGTTCTTTCTTATCTTAACTCTTGAAAGCAAATCTACCCTATTCCCAAACCTCACTGCATTTGAAGATGTAGTAGCCAACAATATGGCCATTTTGGGATTTAGCACCATTTGAGTTGCTGCAGAAATTTTGTTTTTATGAGTAAATCTGTTATCATTCTTGTATCTAATGCTGTTCATCTTGATGATCATTCCCTTAAGATAAGTTCTTGGAAGAATTCCCAGGTCGGTAGATACGTACACATTCAGGGCTTTGACTCCATCCCCGCACTGGCTTCCTCCTAACAGTCCATGTTCCTCTTAGACATCTGGCTGGGTTTGTTCTCTCCATGGTCTGCACGTGACCTGCTCCTCTCCGTGTAGATCAGGTAAGACTTGGAACAGGACTGCCCGAGCTAATGAGGGAGCAGACTGCACGGTGACGCGCTTCTTAGGGTCCCAGGAAAGCCACGCTCACCTAAGGTTTCCTGCTAAGCCCTGTACAGTGCACATCGGGACAGAGCAGAGAGTACCAGTCAGTTTCCCTGAGCTTGAGATGGTGCTGGGTTTGTACAGAAGCCGGAGAGGTACAGAAGCATCCTCTCAACAGGGCTTCGAGCACACTGTGGAGCCCGCAGGGAGGTTGGAGATAGGAAAATCAGTTAGATCTGTGTTCATGGTTAGTGGTACCACACAGGGCAGAGTGGAAGTAGAGGGCATGTGAAAGCAGATGGCAGACAGTGAAGCAGCCGAGCTCTGCCCTCGACGTTAGGAAACTCTCCCAGGAATAGGCCACAGCGTCCACAGGCGCCCACGGTGGCGGGGGCCTAGCTTCGCTGCTCTCTCAGGGAGAAAACATTTTAGTTGAGAAGCATACACATATATCATCGTACATAAGCACAAAATCGTACGAGCGTATTTTACCGTTTGTTTTGAACACGCCCTTTTTTATTGGCAACTGGGGTGATACTGAGCTGTGAAGAGAGCGTCAGAGCAGGGGTGGTACAGTCAATTCTGCCGGGCAGACGGGGCCAGGCCCTGGAAGGTTCTGTGAGACCTGTGCCTCTCAGGTTGTGACCCAGCACCCGTCCCTCTTAGAGCCGCAGTTGCCAGTGTATTGTAACGTTGTCACATACTTTACCCTTCCTTTTGGTCTTCGGACAAAAACAAAAACTTTATCGAAGCATTCTGTGCAGTTAAAGTACAGGTAAAGACTATAGAGAGAATTTGTGGGGAAAATACATATTCACGTAGAACGTTCTTCACTCTAAGGCCTCTTATTCACCTAGCTCAGTGCTTCTCAAGCTTCAGCCATTTACATGAACATCTGCTCACTCTTGGACCACATCTGTGTAACTCAACCCTGTAACTTGCTTAATACACTTCAGTTAATTTTAAAGCAACCCTCTTCTCTGCATGATCTTGTCCTGATATGTAGTCTCTAGAAATGTGAATTTAATGGTGGCACTGTATCATTCTCTACTATACATCAAAATAGCCACGAAAATAACAGATGTCCATCCACGTCCCCCTTAGAATTCTCTTGTCCACCACTGTTCATTTTGACTGACTTCAGTGTTTCTTCTTAGGTGAAATATACAAACTCATTTCTTCTACCTGCTTGACTAGAATTGGTTCAGAGCATGTCAGTGGCTATTTATGCTGCAGTGGAAACTCACCACCCATCTGTCGGTATCGTGCTGTGCACCTTCAGCTCCCTGTGACACCTGTCCAGCTCTTTCTTCTGGTGTTTGCCCCAGAGCAAATGTCCTGTTAGAGGCTTGCACAGTGCCTGCACACATTCACACACGGCACTTGCACAGGCATAGATGTATCTTCTCTACCTTCAAAATCGCCATGCCGTGTTTTTCAGAAGCTCATTTCCTCTTAGGCCTGCCTGCCTCATCTCCTTTGAATCCAGTTATGCTCCTTTCTTCCTCAGGGAAGGACTTGCAGTTCAGTATCTTCCCTGCATTTCACTGGCCAATCGCCTTTGCCATCCCCAGTTGAGATGTTTACTGGAGCTGAACTTCTGAAGTAACCCCTTTGGGCACCTCCCTTGGAGGTTCTGGGTGTTTTCTCTTTAGCATACATTTACCCCACCTCCCTGCAGTGACTCTGTCCCGTGTAGAAGTTCAGCCCATTATTTCCTCTCAGAGGTGAATTTGTGCCCCTACTCGTGGCTTTGTAGTGGATTGTAGCTTGCCTTCCTTTTCTCAGAAAGGACACTCCTGAGGGTCACCTTGAGAAATCTGTAGGCTCAGTCCAATCTTACTCATAGAAGTAGCCTCGCATGTTAGATGACAGTCATAAATGTGTGTCTTATTTTCCTGAAGTGTTTCCTTCTGTGTAGGTGGACCAGTTGTGTGATCTAGTCACCAGTCCACAACTTTCTTCTTTAATCTATGAGAATGAGTAGAATCTTCTCAGATGACTTTCTCCTTTTCCCTTAAGGTAAGGCTGTCTTTTTGATGACAGTGATGTCTTTCCAGAATGACCTGCCACACGATTTCTCCTGCTCCGTGCTGGGTTGAGACTGAGATCAACTATAAGACATAGGACGTTTCCTCCCAGGGCAGTGCATGGTGGACATGGGGTTGGCATGAAATGGAAGTTGCCTGTGAGATGAAAACTTCTCATGGATGGAAAAGAGCTATGAAAATGATGGGGGAACACAGGATTTAAAAAGCATCATATCAACACATGCAAATCATCTGGAAACCACTAACTATTTTAGTGAAGAGTGGGCTATATATCATAGTTATCTGTAGCTCATCCAGGAGAGTTTTCTAAAAGGGGAAATTTCAAGAAAGATGCCAAAGGAAATGAATTTCCTAATCTGGCCCAAAGGTCAGAAAGGAGGCCCATAGTATATAATGGAGTAGGGCAGAGAGTCCTTTCTGCAAGCACCCATGGGTGCCTCTGTCTGTAGAACTGAGGAGAGGCCTGTGGAATGATAATTTCCCCAAATAAAACTTGGGAAACATTTTCCCATAGAAGTTGGTCTTCTGTTATCTGTGTTTAATATATGTGACTACACATCGGTGAAATTATTTCTTGTGCTGAGCGCTGTGTAAAGCAACATTGTTCAAACTTTAAAATTGATAACATTCCTATTTTTCCAGTTGGGAGGAAATAAGATTTATATTAAATTGCATCCTCAGAGCCATCCAGCATCAAAGTAGTAGCTTCATACCCGGTTAGTGCACCTCAAAGCTATACTA